CGAGACGAGACGAGACGAGGGTTGGCGTCGTTATACAATCTAACGGACGTGCACGCGTTAGAAGGGCCCTCTCTGTCACATGCAGAAGCATCTCGACGATGGTTACCAGTCGAACGTTGAAATTGAATTTTTGTAATTGAACCTTCGCTTTGATTTCATTCAAAGATTTCTCGTTCAGCAGTTCGCACTTGTGTGATAGACTGTTTTAGAAATACCCTTAGAGAGCGGGCTCTTTTCCTAGAGGGAAACGTTGAATGCTTAATGGGAGTTGCACGTACTCTGTGTTGGTTTTATCTGTGGTAATTCGAACGATGAATGGCAGTGAAAGAGAGGAAGCAATATAGGGGAATTTGAATCAGATTGATGATAAGGGCCTGTCTAGAACAATTAGCCGTTGCGATAGTTCTCGTTCAACTCGCCATCGATTCAGGATTAAACGATTTGGGCGTGGTGCATCCGTTTCCTTTCCGATCCGTTAGCTTCCCGCTGCATACTGATTACACCTGTTTTACGCCTGACAATACCTGTCTTGATAGATCGTTCGAATTAACTGTTGGTTTTCTTGGTTTTTCAGCAGGAAATACATCGAAAGTGTTCTCTTCTTCTCTTTGCTGCTCCTCATTGTCGAATGCCGAAGAGAATATTCAGGGAGTGTCTTTCTCGATTGATGATACCCTCGGAACACGTGGTCCGCTTAACACTCAACAGTCTACAATCATCCTATTTCCTTTTGCCAAATACGTTTACCAGTTGCGTCACGTAATCTTTGCACTGTCAAATTTCACAGTTATTCAGAATTTCGTTCCTCTCCGAGGCCATATGTCGATGAATATTTAATGAGAGAAAAGCAGGACAGCTGTTGTCAGTGCAGGAACTGGCCACTTGGCCGTTCCTCTGCCGGAAGTCCTCCGCGGAACTCGTCGAAAAACGATCCTCCGCTTGCATTCGGGTCGTGTCGATCCTCCTACTTTTTTTTTTTTTTTTTTTTTTTTTTCCCCCTTTTAAATATCACACTACACCGAGTCAAAATTCCACTATTAGGGAAATAGTTTCAAATTTAACAAGAATACAGTAGCGAAGAAAATCCAAAGTTCAAAGGCTTCTATAGTCTTTGAATATTTTTCAAGTTCGCGGAGCTCTCTCCTCTTATCACTCTGCAGAGTTCGTTCGTTTTAGGTTCTGTAATCCTGCATATGTCGCGTACATCGTAAACTGTGCGACGAGCCGAGCGTGAAAGAGTAGCTCATCTCGGTATAGTTGGATCTCCTTACAATCGATCGTAGGGAGGCTGGTTCACGTGCTTCTAAATATACGAGGCTAACCTTTCAGCTTTTAACGAGGGGTAATAAAATCCATGCCCGGTATTTACGTCGCGAGCTGCTGCGGCAACCAGCAGGTCGATCTAGCGGAAAAAGTTTTTAATCGCGCTTCGCGTCTTCTGTCATTCATTGCTGATAAATAGAGCAACGGCGTATAAATAGCGAACGGGACGATGAATGGCGAACACAACGTGTGTCCATCGACGTTTTTTTTTTTCTCTCGTTCTTGGGTTCATTGATGACGTTTACTCGCGCTTATCGAGACACTGTCGTAATCCTACTCGATCGATTCGTTTCCCCCGATTATAATTAATAAAAGTTGCAGCAACATAGAATGGCAGTCCTCTTTCTTAATCTAATCAGTCAGTGGTGCCCATTGACAAATATACATATGTTTGTTCATCTGGTTCGATGAAACGATACGAATACGATTTGAATTAGCAAATTGAACGATTGATCGGCTTGGTGGACTCCGTGTGCAGTCCGTCAATCGAAAATTGTAATGTCGAGCGCGCTTCATCGGCCAGGTCTTATCTTATCGTAGCTTGCACGCGTGCAATCAGGCGACATTCGGTCTCAGAAAACATTGATATTACGTTCATTGATGGCATGCCTGCCCATTGGAAATGCACTCAGTTTCGTAACTGTTTTATCCACTGTATTATATTAGCTTTGGAGCCGCAATTGGAAAATCCGAGAGGTTCTTGTAAAAAGTGGAAAGGCTCTGCCGATTCAATTATTCCTGAGATGTCTGTTCCATTTGTCTGTTAATCGTGTTACTCACTTTCCTCAATCTATAATCACGCTGTCGATTAATAGCAATGGGCTTAATGGTTAAACATGAACAAGCGAACGTCTCGTTCGTTGATTTTTCATTTGACACGACGTTCCTCCAGTTGTCGATATCATTCGTTAAGAAAATCGAGATTCACGACTATTTTCACGGAAATTTCTATTTCGCACGGTTGGCGTGAGTTTGCGGTTTTCACTCTATCAGTGAAGGATTTTTCAGTCGAGTCTCCGAGAGATCCGGTTTTTCGATCTTGAAAAAATATTCTAGAGCGTTTCCTCTCGCTCTGTCTCTGGCTGCTGCGTGGCTCGAATAGATTTACATGTCTGAAAGGACCATTACTGTGAACGCGGTTCGAACGTCTATTTTTGCTCGCACGTTGGTCGAAACAATCTTGCCTATTGCTCCGTGAACTCGTTCGATGTTTCTCGTGTGTTGATCGTTCTTTTTCATCCGTCGTTTTGCAACGTGCCTTCAAGTTCACCATTTGTCATCAGAGCATCTTACAATTAGTTGATCAATCAACTAATCGGTCGATTGGGTTCTTCTGTACGATCGGAGTTGTTCAGTAGTTTTATTAAACGTCAATTTTACATGCAAAGTAAGAAGAAGAATTTGTAAAACGAGGAATTGTA